ATAAGATGAACAATCAACGAACACCCACAATCACAAACGAAATCGAAACATCAATCTCCTATCCCTAGCACAAGGTTTAGCTACTCATTATAAACTCAACATTCATATCTCATCAAATAAAGCCATAACATTCATCAATGAAAGTGAAAAGAGAGCTTACGATTAATACGAAATTCAATGTCAAAACCTCGATAGCAATCCAAATCCGAAAGATAAAGGGAGGTTTTCACTCTCCAAAATCAAATCTAAGTAAAACCCAAGTGATTATGTTCTTCCTCTCAAAAAGGACGAAAAACCATGTTCAAAGATGAGTAAAAACTGCCCTCCCTCGATCTAATATCATTTCCCCATTCAAAATCCATGAAAATCGCGTCAGTTACATAACAGGCCTTAGCGGCGCTAAGCCTTCTTAGCTGGTTTCCTCTGTCCCGCTTAGCTGCCAAAATCCCGCTAACCACACAGGCCTTAGCGGCGCTAAGGCCCCCGACAACTTTGCATGACTTCACGGTTTGGGCTCGTTCGTGCTCGTCTGGTATCGGAATTCAGTTCCACTTTTTCCTATGTGTTCCTAACGATCTCCTCTATTCAATTATGCTCCTGAAACCAATTCTTAAGGAAGAGAAACATTGCCCAAAGCTCCTGACCTACACACCAAAAACAAAGAAAAACCGAAAAAGCACACAAAAAATACAAGAAAAACCGAAATAGATCAAATCACGCAATAAACTACAAAAACGAATAATACCAACAAAAAGACTCAATATTGGGGAAAAATAAAGACAAAGAGACAACGGAAAATACAACAAAAATGGGACAAACAACTCCCCCACACTAAAACCTTTGTTCGTCCCGAACAAAAAGAAAAGAGAAGACACGAAAACAAGCAATTGAGCATGGATAATAGTTTAAGATAAGACAAGTCTCAAATTAATCAACTTAGCCGAGGAGAATTCCAATGACCAATATAGCACACCTCAATTACAACTCGAATGCAACGCTTTGAAAAGACAACCTCTCAAGAATGGAAGTATAATATGTATATGCCTCACTCGGTTTCTTTCATGACTATAAAACTGGGACGCTCGAATTGGTCGATCATCATGCATCAACATAAGCTTGCTTATCATATATTCATACTCTAAAACAACCAAAGATCATGAACTGCAAATCAAGGGGACTTTCAAAGTTGCATTGTAGGCATCAAAGGAAGGACAAATATAGGGATAGAGTGGCTCAAATAAACAATCAAACCCTCGAGCACATAAATAACTCGAACACCTCACTACTTATCCAACATCAAAATTATATAAATCATTCCCATCAAGGCTCAATACAACACTTGCATATGCTCAAATTGAATTGCACTTCAAGTACTCGACCTTTTTTTTTATTTCTCTTTTTTTAGGGGGTTTGCTTTTTTTTTTCCTAACAAAAATCAAGACGTAAGGACGACATTCTCTAGGTTTAAACATTGGAGGTCATCCAAGTTTCCTAGAGAAGTTTCCCAATACTCATTATTCGTGAAAAATTCCACAAATAAGCGGAGTAGAATCCTTTCCTTCCGTCTTGCGAGTTCCCTCTTTTTTTTTGTCAAGTACCCAAAATGCAAATCCAACAAGTAATACACCTTCTCCAACACATATCAGAAAAACTCCATCATCATAGCAAGTACACTGTCAAATCTCAAGTAATTCAATCAAATTGGTTGACAAGAAATACAGTTCAAGGCTCAATGGACTACTGATGAAATATAATCTCAAGGGTCAATGAAAAAGGCTAAACGAGCTATATCAAAGAAATGCCTCGATCATATTCACAATTCACTACTTTAATCAATTCATTTCAAAATAAACTCAAAGCAAGTTCTGATCAACAATGAATCCGACCAATATCTCTCGAGAAACAAAATAAGGCTCAAACCTCTCACAAGGTAAATAAATGTCCAACAAAACGAAACATCAAGTTCATAAAAATATATCATGATCACCATCACATCTCATCAACATCATCAACAATTCTCAACCAATCTCAAAATCAGCCACAATCCAAACTCGAAAACACACAAACTGACTCAAGAAAAGACAATAAAACAGAAAAGAAAATGAAGCAAACATCTTAAAAGAGCTAGACCTGATCAACCATATAAGCACATAATCATGTAAAAACTCCCCCACACTTAAAATCGAACAATGTCCCCATTGTCGATCATTAGTGCAAGGAAAGTTACTCATATAATCAGCCAACAAGGAAAAAAAACAAAGACACTAAACCAAATACAAAAATAAAGAGAAAAGAAAAGATACAAACGTACAGGGCACAGTGACTAGACTAGTCACTGTGAATCCGGTGATGCTCTCGGAGGGTGGAAGTAGTCAGGCCCCGAACAGCGGCAGGCGTTCATCAAGTCAAACCTCTCGCCCCATTTAGATCGGGGCAGCTCACTAGAACTCATCTGGTGGTCAGTACGGCATCCTCCATCATTGACAGCTCGGTTCTGTAATGCCATTTTAGCATGCTCTCGCACACACGCCTCCTCAGTCAGCTGCTCAATCGCCCTGAGATAAGCACACTCTTCAACCAACTTTACCTCTGGCTCATGCGGGGTTTCTCGAACGGAAATGGCGACAGACTCGCCCACCACAGTCATGCTCAGCGTCCCACCCTTGACATTGATCATCGTATTCGTGATCACCATGAACGGTCTTCCGAGAAGAATAGTGTGACTCCTCTCATTGTTTTGCACTTTGCCCACATCCAGCACGACGAAGTCAACTGGCACAATCAGCTTTCTAACTCGAACGAGTACGTCCTCCACAATTCCCTCGGGCCGACAGAACGAGCGATCGGCCAGCTGTAGACGCATCTTGGTGGGCCTCAATTCTCCAAGCCAGAGCTTCTGATAAACTGTAAGTGGCATGAGATTTATGCCTGCTCGTAGATCGAGCATTCCTGAAGTCTCTTCCCCATTCCCGAAGGCCATAGTAATCACGAAGCCTCCGGGATTCTTCTCCTTCTTCGGCAAGTCATGCTGGAAAACACTCACCGCCTCACCAATTATCACCTCATCACCATTCTCAAACCGCTTCTTGTTTGTGGCCACTTATTTGAAAAATCGCGCATAGGCCGGTATCTTCTTCAAAAAATCGAGAGGAGCTAAGTCGACATTGGCCTTATCCAACATCGCATGGAGGTCCCGAATCATCGTGCGGTCCTTCTCCTCCAAAAGTCAGCTAGGGAAAGGAATTCTCGGTCTGTAGGGGTTCGGGGGTCTGTGTAAAGGAGGCTCGAGTAGTGGTGTCACTGGGGCTTCTTCCATTTGGATGAGCTCTTTCGGGCCCTCCTCTTCTTCTTTATCCACTTCGGGCATTATCACGGTCACCACATTCGCATGCTTCATCTGACTCGACAGCTTTTCTTTGTTCATATCAGCCTCGATGCTCCCAACCCGTGTGGCTAGCTGGCCTACTTGTGCCTCAAGACACTTAATGGAAGCATCATGGTTTGTAACAAAATTGAGAATTTTGTCCAGCTTGTCGTCCATGCTCGGTGGGGTGGGTCCAGTTTCAGGTGCTGGCAGCCTTAACATTCCCCTGGGTTGCTGCTGCTGGGGGACGGAGTTGGTTTGAGGTGTCTGCTGATAGTTGTTGTTGGACCATGAGAAATGAGGGTGGTTTCGCCACCCCGGATTGTACGTGTTCGAGTAGGGGTCGTTTTTGGGCCAATTCTGATACCCCTGTAGTGCGTTCACCTCGGTAGTCTGGCCATAGCTCGGCTCGATAGCCGATGGGCACACCTCAAAACTGTGCCCCCTGAACTCTACATGCACCACAATTGTTCACTGTCATCGTCTAAATAGGCGAGGAGCTTCTAGCATTAAACACCCTCATCTGCTCTGTGAGCTCGGCTAGCTGCTGGGCCATGGCATTATTGCTCGATCCCACCTCATTCACAGTCAACCTCTTTCCTCTTACATTTTTCTGAGATGAGTTAGCACTCATCGTCTCGTAAATCTCCATCATCTCTTCAGCTGTTTTGGCCCCAATGTCCCCTCCGGATGCATTATCCACCATGTATTGCAAGTTCTGGTGGAGGGAGTCATAGAAGCACTTCGCCAAAAGCCCCGGTGAGAGGTTATGATGTGGGCATTGCCGTTGGAGATCCTTGAATCGTTCCTAGGCCTCATGAAGGGCCTCATTCGGTAGATGAGTGAAAGAGACGATCTGGACCGGATATCTTGGGTCTTCTGGTGGGATAGTACTTCCCAACAAACTTTGAGTAGACCTCTGTCCATGTTGTTAGAGAGTCAGGGGCCAAGGTCATAAACCACGCTTTAGCCCGGTCCTTCAGCGCCTCCGGGAAGCAGCACATTTTTAAATGGTCCTCAGATAGCCCATGTAGAGGAAATGTCTGTAGAACGTTGTAGAACTCCCGGCGGAAATGGAGTGGATCCTCATTGGGGAGCCCGTGGAATGAAGGCAACTGGTTGTAATGGATCATTTTCAGCTCATAGTTTCGGGCGACCTGTGGTAACCGTATGCAAGAAGTGATTGGCCCGATAATAGGTTGGGCCAGATCGCTGAGGACATTGCGGGGAGGTTGTTGTTGTCGTTCAACCATGTCTGAATCACTTCCTTCGGATGATTCCGGAGAATGCTCGCCTTTTTCTAGTGACTCCAGAGTAAGCTCTTCCAGTAACTCCCTCAAGATTTTGTTGACTGATTTGTTGATCGGAGATAGTATACGTCCACTCCTGGTACGCATACACTCATAAAAACAAAAGGTCACGAGCACCAACGGTAAACACAAGAGAAAAGCGAATAAAATAAAAACAACTACTAACACCTAAACAAAGAAAAAGAAAACAAGAGAAACATAGAAAATCAAAATGAAAAAGCGCACAAAATATGTCCTGAACCTTCCTCGACAACGGCGCCAATTTTGTTGTAAATATTTTTCGGAGTAGAATCGAAAGATTCGAACACCGGGTCGTGTCTCACGAGGAAGATTAGCCGGAATACTATGTGCGTTTATTCAAACACGAATGAAAGAAATAAAAATCCTAGACATTTTAATTCAGTTGATTTGGGTTGATTTTAATTATCTACTAGCACGAGGACCTAAATTAAGCAATGTAAATAGCAAACAACGTAGAACATATAGGATTAGAGAAGCTAGGAAGTCGGGGATGTCCGTTTTGGTTCAAAATGTGATTATCGAGCAAGTGATTGTCCAGTTAAGTGATTTGAATAACCTACGCGTTCAAGTACTCATTCTCAATAACTTTTCGTAACAAGAGAACAAACTAGAACGGCAAATTAACAAATCATTTAACTCCTAGGCAATACAGTTACGAACAAGCATAGCTTATGCGAGCCTATTTCGACTGACTCCTCCCCTTTCGGTTCTAAGAGTCGATTTTCGGTAGATTAGAAGATGATTAATCAACTAGCCCGTTTAGAATCAACAACATCAAACACGAATTTATCAAATTCAATTGAAACAATTGCAAGTTGAAGTGTCACCCTTCAACAATTCTCAAAATCCAAAATAATAATTGAAAAACCCTAATTCAAGATTAACTCGCATAAGATGAACAATCAACGAACACCCACAATCACAAACGAAATCGAAACATCAATCCCCTATCCCTAACACAAGGATTTAGCTACTCATCATAAACTCAACATTCATATTCTCATCAAAGAAAGCCATAACATTCATCGATGAAAGTGAAAAGAGAGCTTACGATTAATACGAAATTCAATGTCAAAATCCCGATAGCAATCCAAATCCGAAAGATAAAGGGAGATTTTCACTCTCCAAAATCAAATCTAAGTAAAACCCAAGTGAAATTATGTTCTTCCTCTCAAAACGGATGAAAAACCATGTTCAAAGATGAGTAAAAACTGCCCTCCCTCGATCTAATATCATTTCCCCATTCAAAATCCACAAAAATCGCGTCAGTTACAAAACAGGCCTTAGCG